GGCAGGGCCCCAGTCTGCTGGGGAGGGCATCGCGCTGGAAATTCCTCTGCATACCTCGCCTTCTAAGAAGCTGTGTGTGCTTCTAAATTAGGCTATAGTGGGGATTCTTGATATTGGAGAATTCCTTGTCACACAAGCCTCCTGCCAGTTGCCTGCACCTGAAACCTCATCCATGCGTGCCCTCAGCTGTACGGCCTAGCAGCAGCTTTTGCACTCCTCAGCCAGTGGTGAGTCTGCACCGAGCACTGGCTTGTCTTTCTCAGAGTCTGGAAGTTTAGGTTTCATCCACAGTCACTCTCATCAATTCTAACAGTTGCTATGAAATATTTCTAAGGGTTGACCCTGTGGCCTAGTGGTTAAGGGAGCCGGATCCCACACAACCAGCTACATAGTTTGAATTCCAGCTTGAAAAACATGCTGGGTGCATACACGTGCATGTTCCAGATCCTGACAGGATAGAGAAATCAAGGAGAGGTAGGGAACCAGCAGTTAGCGTAATGGCTAAGTCGCTGGACTCCCATGTAGAGGAGAAGGGATTGCGGTGTGACCATCCCCCCTGGGGGGCGATTTCTCGCTTTCTGTCTCTATGTCTCTCTCTGTCTGTCTGGCGAGCGCATGCGCCCTACAGTGAAAATCTCTCCAAAAAAAAAAAAAAAGGAAAAAAGAAATCAAGGAGAGGTAGGGAACCAGCAGTTAGCGTAATGGCTAAGTCGCTGGACTCCCATGTAGAGGAGAAGGGATTGCGGTGTGACCATCCCCCCTGGGGGGCGATTTCTCGCTTTCTGTCTCTATGTCTCTCTCTGTCTGTCTGGCGAGCGCATGCGCCCTACAGTGAAAATCTCTCCAAAAAAAAAAAAAAAGGAAAAAAGAAATCAAGGAGAGGTAGGGAACCAGCAGTTAGCGTAATGGCTAAGTCGCTGGACTCCCATGTAGAGGAGAAGGGATTGCGGTGTGACCATCCCCCCTGGGGGGCGATTTCTCGCTTTCTGTCTCTATGTCTCTCTCTGTCTGTCTGGCGAGCGCATGCGCCCTACAGTGAAAATCTCTCCAAAAAAAAAAAAAAAGGAAAAAAGAAATCAAGGAGAGGTAGGGAACCAGCAGTTAGCGTAATGGCTAAGTCGCTGGACTCCCATGTAGAGGAGAAGGGATTGCGGTGTGACCATCCCCCCTGGGGGGCGATTTCTCGCTTTCTGTCTCTATGTCTCTCTCTGTCTGTCTGGCGAGCGCATGCGCCCTACAGTGAAAATCTCTCCAAAAAAAAAAAAAAAAAGGAAAAAAGAAATCAAGGAGAGGTGATCGCAGTATGATCATGCCCCATGAGGGGAGGGGTGTTTTCTCCCTCTCTTTGTCTCTGGTAAGGGCATGTGCCTGCTGGTTAAAAAAAGAAAAACTTCAGTGACATGACACGATGGCTGCAGCAGACCCATCCTCCAGCGTGAGTGCAGGTGGAGATGCAGCCAGGCTCTCAGGGCGCCCCATCCCCAGCCACGGGCCTGCAGCGTGCCTAGGAAGACCATTTCCCCGGATCTGCGCTGTTTGACCACCCTGCCCTTCTGTCCTTAGGTCTTCCGTGCTGGGTCAGTCTCCACCTGGGGCAGGGAAAGTTCTAGTCTTCTAGAGGTAGAAGGTGGACCTCTTACTGCCCAGTAACCTGGGCAAATCCTCCTCCTCCTGTGCTTCCATTTCCTGGCACATAAGAGGGGAACATCAAATGAAAGAACTGTCAAAGCCCTTCATGAGACTCCAGGGCTCTCTGAGGGGTGGGTGTGTGTGTGTGTGTGTGTGTGTGTGTGTGTGCGTGCACGCGTGCCTGCCTGGTGTGTTCTAGCAGTGTGTGGAAGTGTGAGTGTTTTATGTTCATGCATTATGGATTTGTATGTTTTATATCCATGTGTAGTATGTGTGTGCATGCACACACTTGCATGCACATGACTTCCTGGTCTATGTATCCATGTGTGTGGGGTGTGTGTGTGTATGCATGTCCTTGTGGCACGTGTGTATATGCATTCCCCTAGCATGTTTTGTGCAGATATATTCAAG